CCTCAGTCAAGGACGAGCTGACTTCCTCGCACAAGTTCATCTTTATGGAATTCCATCACATGGGAAGCTGCATAGCGCATGGAGCACGAGGCTGCTGGCGTCGGCGCTGGAGAGGCTCAAGGGCTTCACCCCCGGGTGAAGAGGATGTTCCCGCCTTGCAGGGAAACACTCGTGTTCGTAGTTTGCATGGTTTAGACAACAAGCCTGAGCAAAGCAAGTGCGCAGAGTGCTCCGGCGTGCGCCAGCGGTGACGGAGCGTCCCCGAGCGCCCATCCTGCAGAGCCAGGCAGCGGGGAAGGAGACAGCCACAGGAGTCAGCGTCGAGCTGGGTGCATCCGGGCCGCGCACCGAGGGCGGCGGGAAGCCGAGTGCCCGGGACCGTCAGGAGCTGCCACGTCTCCGCTGGGGCTCGTGCTGCGGCGCAGTCCTGCTTGGAGGCTCCGGGACTGGGGAGGAGGCGGCACAAGGCAGCGCTTGCACAAATAGCCCTTAGTGATAAACAGAGACTTGCTCCCGAGCCCGCAGGGAGGGACGGCGCCATCCTCCCTCTCAAGGCACCTGCGGCAGAGCCGGGACGGGAAGGAGCGAGTCGACCGGAGCAGGCAGCAGACGGAGGCGGCCGAGCAGAGGGACGGAGCGTGGGCAGCGTGTCCTCCACGAGGCGTCGGGCGGGAGCCCTGCGGGCACGCAGAGCACGGCAGCAAAGTCCTGCCGCTCCCGGCCGCGGCTCCACCGAGTCCCTGCTGAGCTGCCGGTGCCACCGAGCCCGAAGTGCCGAGCTCCTTCCTGGGGCAGGATTTGCCCTTTTCTGCGCAGACAAAGAAAGAACCTGGCACACTAAGGAACCACCTCTGCCAACCCAGCTTCTTGGTGAGGAGAGTCACGGTCCAGGGACCAGGAGGTGGCCTTCAGCAGATGAGTGCATTAGCGTCAGTTTGGAACAGGAAAGATTTAAAATATATATAATATATACTTTTATTATTCACCCGTTAAATCCATTATATGCCAATCATGAGCTAGTTTCTGCAGTTACATTCCCTTGATCACGTCTTTACGAGGATGCAATTAAATCAAAACAAAGGAGGCCACCGAGGCCACCGGGGGAGCCGTGGCCGGTTGTGTGTGAGACAAGCGTTAAAAATCGGTCGACGTCTGCGTAGCGGGTCCAGTGCCGCTGCTCCGCGCACGGGTCCGGCTCGGGCGGGATCGGCGAGGGCAGCGTCTCGCGGGCCCAGCTCCTCCTCGCAGCGCTCTCCTCGCAGGGCTCGCTTACTGCAACACCAGTCCAACCTGGGAGAGCCAACGGGGACAGCGGGTGAAGAAGTGCCCGAGCGCGAGCGTCCTCCGCCCCGCGCCCACAGCGGGATGGACGAGAGGCTCGCGGAGCTTGGCCGTGTTTGCACCCACCGGCTCCAGGGCTTTGAGGCCAGCAGAGCCCAGCGCTAGACGGGCAGGTTGTGCAGCCAAACGGGCGCACGGTCCTGCCGGATCGGATATGCGGAGGTGGCCAAGGCTTAGGGGTTTCCTAGCCGCCCTGCACGAGCGGGGCGGCGGGTCTGCACGATGGGATGTGCGGAGCAGCACCTCTGCTTTGGGGTTTGGCTCGTGGCATTTTCTAGCCAGGACTGTCTCTAAGCTCACAGCAATAGGTTAGACAGCAGCTGCTCGCTGGCAGCCTCGTACTGCGCCAAGTCCTGCTCGGGACACTTCTGGGTACCCCTGGGGCTGGTGGCTGCTCCCAGGGATCCGCCCGGATCGCGGAGATGGCTCAGAGCCCCCGCAGGGCGCAGCAGGAGAGCAGCTCCCAGCACCAGGCGCACACATCCATCAGCCCTTCCAGCGAGGGAAGGACTTGGATAAATCTCCCAGCAACCCCCTCGGGTTATTTTTTTAAAGCATCGGTGATGGAGCAGAATTGGTTTAAAAAGTGTTGATTTGTGGCACAGTGCCCTGCAGGTGCTGCAGGCCTCGGCGCTGCGGGCACAGCAACCCAAATATCACCTGGAGACGCCACCAGGACAAGCAATTAGCCACGTTAATCAGCCTGTTGGACCTCACACCTCTGGCTGCCGGCAGGAGCCTCTTGCTTCCCGCAGAGCAGCCGCCCACTCGGCTTCACCGGCTCTGCGAGAGCGATCAAAGTCCAGCTACATTAATGACTTGTTTTGACCTGGCTGGACACGCTGCAGATCCAGCACCCAGTGCAGAGGGGCAGCAGGAGCTTCTCCAGCGCTATCCGTGCCAACGTGCCAAGGAACCGAAGGATGCTGAACTGCAGCACCTCCTCGCGGACCCACGGTAGCCAGAGGGCAACTGGACACTGCTGATGATGGCCCAGCCACCAGGGCACCTCCCCGGGGACCCTGCTAGAAGCAGCTGCAAGTGCCCAGAGCAGCTGGGGGCAATGAGTCGCCGGCCTTGGGGACCATGTGGCTGATCCCACGGCTCGGCCGCTCCGCAAACACCGCGGGCTCCTGCTCAGCAGCAACCCCATGGCTCTCCAAGCACCACTGCGCTCCCTAGAGCAGCCCCTGTCCGGCTGGTCTCACCAGGACGTGTGAGGACACCGAAAACAGACCGACACACATGGCCCCACATAGGTCCAAGTGCAAAATTACTCTGAGGAGACCAACTGGTGAGAGCTTCTGCCCATGCTGAGCTGAAAAGACAGCACCAGACCCGGGCGGCCTGCCCGTCCCCACAGCCTCAGTGAGGCCAGACCAGACCCCTGCTCGCGTGCTGGCCAGGCTGGAGGAGCAGCAATGCACTGACCTTCTCTGGTGCCATGCTGGGACACTTCCAATTGTACAGGTAATACTGCAGGTTCCCGTCCCCGATCCCAAACTTCAGCTTCTCCAGGAAGGTTTTGTTTTCCATGAGATCCAGTGCATTGAACACGTCGAATCCTTTCTGCACAGGCAAGAAAGCAGCGATCAGCTCCTCTAGCCATCGGCTGCTCTCCTCTTTGGGCACTGCCTGCCCTCTACTAGCGTTCCTTTCTCCTCCTGCCTTGCAGACCCTTTAGGATCTGGATTCGTACAGCACTGAGTACAAGGTACAAAGCCCATGACTGGCCCTCCCCACAGGTTCAAGCGCAGCCAGGAGGCTTGAGATGCCTGTGATGAGCTGCCCAGAACCCAAGGGTGCTGCCCCCAACCTGCCCGGTCCTGCCAGCACTCACCGACTTGGCAAGGATGAGAGCGTCGCCCATGAGGTCGAGGAGAGGTGTCTTGGTGTGCACGTTGTAGAAGGAATAAGCAGCTTTGAGACTCTTGTGGGTCGTGTGGTTCATGATGGTGGAGGGCAGCGTGTAGAAGCTCAGGAAGTCTGTCACCTCCCCAGGGGCGCTCTGAAAGCCAAGGGTGACACAGCGGTGACACAGCCGCACGACACAACCAGGAGATGCCGCTTTGAAGTGCGGAGGGGCTTTGCCCATCTCCGTGGGCGCCCAGTGGGCAGGCTCATGGCAGCCCAGGACGGAAGCATCGTCCTCCAGCAGCTCAAACTCCAGCACCTGCAAGAGGATCCCAGCTCCCACTGCCCAGGAGGGCAGCCACCTCTCTGATCTCTACTGCAGAGAACGGAGCAGCTCACTGCACACCCTTCCAGCGGTGGGGGAAGCCCAGAACACTCTCACCTCTACCACAAAGGTGTCAATGATGTTCTCTTGAGGTAAGAACCAGTGCTCCACCTCCTCTCGGCTCATGACAGGCGTCAGGTGGAACTGCTTCAGGTATTCGGTCAGGAGCTTGTGCACTGCAGAAATGTCTTTGTGCTCCATTGGCCGCAAGCCGGGAGTCTTGGGAGTCTGCAGAAAACAAGAACAAACTGTTAGCGTGGCTTGCAAGGGTGCTTTGACCCCTCTCAAGGACTAGCCTTCCTCCTCAGCAGCCTCTGACAAGCAGCGTGGGGATGTTTTCTGCTTAGATCGCACCATTTTCCATCTCACAGCCCTTGCCAAGCACTTTCCTCCCAGCCCTGCTTGTCTGGAAGGATGTGATCGGCTGTGACACCGATGCAAAGACTGCAGGAAAGCCCAGGGTGTCACAGCCTCCCGTGCTGGGTCAAGTCACACTGGGAGAGGCCTCTTAGTCATTAACAACATAAGGTCTCTGCTTCCTTCCAGGTCTCTGCTCCCAAGCACAGGGGGACCAGGCTGGCAGAAGTGCCCCAGGCACAGCAGGATACATCAAGGAAAGAGGTGGCGAGAGCAACACCCGGCTCCCGTCCGAGTGTTTATTTCCAGCATGACCCCATTTCTAGCCTCGGGTTGGGAACGCTCAACGTAGCCCAACTCAAGTCACACAAATGTTTTTTGGGTCTGGGTTTCTGCACAAAAAAAGCCAAGGGCTACGATCAGTGACTGCTGCCATTGCTGAGGTGGGAGACAGGGGACACTGGGCTGCACGATGCCCAGCTCTGAAACACCGCTCTGACCCAAACCACCAGCTCTGGCCAACAGAAGGAAGCAAACAACGTCTGGGAAGGTGGGGACAATTTTCATGCTCTGTTTTTCTTTTCTACTCTAGTCAGCTGGGGAACTTCCCCCAGGAGGACAAGTGCCGTGACAGAACTGATCAGTTTGAACGAGGGACTAACCCAATTCAAGGTCGCTCCAAGGTTGTGTTTGGACAGATGAAGGCTGTCACATCTGTATTCTCGTTTTACCAGGAGAACAGGATATGAGTCACCATGAAACAAAGGATCATAGGGTGCTCTAGCTGCAAAAATATGCCCTTAAAATACAGGTATCCAGGCAAAATAAATAAGAATTAAATAAAGCACAGTGGCTTGACAGGGCCATTTATTATATGAAACACAAACCCCCAGTCTCCAGGCAAAAGATGGACCCAGCTGAGCTGCTCGTGTGCCCGATGTCGAGCCCCATCCCTCGCTCGGCTGGGAGCAACTCCTGGGTTCTGTTGCTTGCAGCCCCTGCTGGCACCCACCTCCGGCAGCCGATAAAGCTTCATGGTACGTTGCATAGTCATGTTCCTGCTCAGGTGGGAAAACTTGACTTCGATGAGTTTCCGAGGATTCAGGGACCGATGCCAGTACCTGCAGAAACACATTGGCTGTGGGAGACTTGTTCTTGGACAGCGGGAAGGCTGTGAGAGCGGCAGGTCCTCGAAGTGGCCATGAGAGGGCAAGCGAGAACATGGTGCGGGCTGGAGAAGAGGCTCTCGGAGGCCAGGATAAAAACAAGGGCAGCCTGAGGTGCATGTGCTGCAGAGTCTCCTGGCTTGTGACAAACGAGCAGCTTAAGCAAAGCTGCAGTGCTTAATCCCCGAAGGACAGCATGGGGAGCAGAAATCTAAGCTGGAATTGCCCTGTCTTGCCCCAGGGAATGCCACACCTGCAAGCACAGCCATCCAAGCACCTTGTAACAGAGTAGCTCCTGGTAAAGGAAGGTCTGCAGAGGGTTCCCCCAGCCCTCAGTGCTTCAGAGCACTGCAGTCACTTACCTGCAAGTCCCCACAGGCTTTGGCAGCACCACTCCGGCAGTGTAAACAGCCTGAAATATTCCCTCCAGATGAACCCGCCGCGTGATCTCCCGGATCAGAACTGGAGCCACTCGTTTGGAGCGCAGCTTTTTGTGGACACACAGGAAATTTATTTCCACCATCTTCTTCTCTCTTAGGAAAGAAACGATGCACAGGATGAGACCCAATTTTCCTGACCACGGAGATCGGACTGATGCCCTGGACGATTTACTTCCAGCCCCCACGAGACACAGGGAGGTCAAATTCCCAGGAAGGCCAAGGGCTGAGGTCCAGAGGCCTGACACACTGGTGCTTTGGAAGACTCTCCTTGAGCTGCTATCCAATAGTTTCCCAAGAGAATATAGTCTCCGCTGGCATCCAGCCCAGGAGGATTAGAGCCAGAGCTCTAAGCTGACCCCACTCACTGAGGAAAAGAACCTCCTCAAGTAACTGCAAGACATCCCCACACAGAACTCCACCAGCCACCCTAAATATCCTCCACCTTCTCCTCCCAGCAGCAAAGTGTCTCCACAGCTGCAGTCAGTCCATGTGCTGCAGTGAGGGCCATGTGGTCAGATCCCTCCTGAGCACCGCTGGGAACCGCCACGCGCCACCAAGGTGCAGCAGAAGCAGCGGAGCGGAGCAGCACTCACGTGTCGTAGATGTGGATGGTGGCTGGAATCGCGCTGATGAATCCCACCAGCTTCTTGCTGGAGACAACTCTGACACCGCAGTGCCACTGGGGCAGCCAGCCTGGCGGACGCAGCGCCCTGCGGAACAGACACGTCTCACCCATCCAAAGGGCCCCCTGCACCCATATCTGCCTCCAGCCTCCCCACCATGTCCTGGGACACTCAGTGACACATTTCAGGCCACCCAAGACACCCGTGGCAGGAGAACGAGGGCAACTGTGAAGTTACAGGGCAGGGCTGTTCGGGTCCAAGGGAATTCCTGCGCTCTGTGGCCAAGGCCATTTCTCACTCGCAAACCAGGAGGAAATCTGTGTCCTCCATTGGTGAACGCCCTGAAGAAACGGCAGCTCATCTGCAACAGATCTTCAAGTATTATTGCTGGCAATAATACTTGGCAGTCACCTTCCTCCTTTAACTCTGGAACAGTGGGAAACTCCTCAGCTACCAGAATTTTTGAAAACGCTCAAGGGATCAAAACAAAGAGGAAAAAATGCAGTTTTAGGTTCCAATATCTCAAAGAGGCCTGAGGCAGGCAGTACTACACGACAGACAGGTCTCTTGCAGAGCACCTGGGACACCCAGTTCCCAGACACGTGCAGAGAGTGACAGATAACAAAGCGAAATTTTGAGAAAAAAGGTGAGCAGAGGCAGCTTGAGTGCTATCCACCCACTGTGCTCTGTGGTGCGTGGTCACGGTGCCACTCACCACAGCAGGAACTCGGGAGAGTAATCGAAGCGGAACATGTTGTCATCGTCTTCCACGTAGTTCTCGTTCAGAAGCGTGTAGAGCTCCTTCAGCTGCAGCAGGAGACATCAAGCAGGTCAAGGGAGTTTTCAGCAGTCACACCCCGAAGCTGCTCTGAAGCACGACCCAAAACTCGCTTTCCATGAGGCTGCGGCATTGGGAACCGCGTGTTGCCGTGTCCCTGTAACTGGCACGTCTCCCTTCTCCTTGCTGCTGGCTCTGGGCTCCTAGAAGGGCGCCCTGCAGAGCACAGTTAGCAGCAGGGCACACAGACACTCCTGCCACCCCCAGGTCAACTCTCAGGAAGATGGCCACGATCTGGAGTGTCTTTGCCTGGAAAAAACTCCATGCTTACACTTTAAAAACATGGAAAAACATTCCCATCTGGCCATCCCCCATGAAGAAACCAATCAACCCTGGCCAACACGTGGGAGGTAAGTACCTGTTTTAGGGGAAACGACCCACCTAACTAAGGAGGCGGTGAGATCGGAGAGCTGGAGTGTTGCTCATAAGGGTGGAGGACACATTCCAGCCACCAAAGACACCTCTGGCAGTCCAAGCACTGCACTGCCAACCGAGCAACAGAGATGCCCTCCCCACCAGTGCGTGCCCAGGTGCCCACACTCACCACGCCTCTGTCACCAAGGTCCAGGGCATCCCAGGTGAAGCCCTGGGGCAAGGTGTACGGCTCCTGACGGATGTTGTCTTTGTCTGGTTCCACGGGACCGTGGGTGTTCACCACTTCTCCTGCAAGAGAGAATCACAGAATCATTATGGTTGGAAAAGACCTCAAGATCATCAAGTTCAACCATAAGCCCTTCAACACCATCCTGCTAAACCATGTCCCTAAGTGCCTCATCTCCACATTTCCTGAACGCTGTCAGGGATGGTGAGAGGGAGGAGGGAGCCCTGAAGATGCTCTCTGCTGTTGGAGGCCATGTCCCCACGACGCCACGGGTGGTTTCACTTGACAGCCCTTCTCACCCCAGATCCACAGCCTGAGCAGTCAGGAACCAAGTGCTCAACACCACCAAATGGGGCACAGAATCCAATCTGCCCTTCCAAGGGTCATGGCAGAGGGGGAGCAGAGAGGAGCAGCCTGAATTACTCAGAGCTTCGAGACCAGAGCACCATCCTCCACATCCACAAGCCTCAGGCCTCCCAGTCCCCATCACTGCTGGCCCCACCTTTCGTGGCACATCAGGATGTCAGATCTCAGCGGGGCACAGTGGCCATGAGAGCACGACCTGCCCCGTCGCTGCCAGCCAGCGCCTCCTGTGACCTGCTCCACCACCCCCAAGCACCAACTGGTGGCTCTCCCCTGCTAGCCCCAGCCCCTGCCGCTTGGCAGGCGTCAGGATCTCCTTCCCAGTGCGTTTCAGTCGGAGCTGCAGGGAACAAGACGACTTTTGTTGAAAAACGCTGACCCCTGAAGCACTCGATTCAGCCAAGAGGTGTTGGTTAAAGCACCGTCTTGCTCAGGGACGTAAACACAGCTCTGCAAACAGCAGCATCACTCGAGCGCTGCCAAGAGAAGCTCACTGCACTGATTAGGAATTCCCTTAAAAAGGAGCTGAAAAGAGGTTTCCAGGCAATGAGGAGGAATAAACTCAAAACAAGAACCACCCCCATCGCACCCAGGCTAGGACAGGTTCCAGGAACACTCTGTTTTGAGTAGGTACCAAACCCTGACCCAGTCCCCAAAACCTCACGGCACTTTCGTGCCCAGGCCCTGAACAGCCTCCTGGGGGTGACATCGTGTGCCACAGAGCGCTTTTGAGCAAGCCCCAAGGGAGATGGTGGCATCTAGCAAGGAGTCGGACACCAGAGTGTGGGCAGCAATTTCGCATATGGAGGACCAAGCTGGTTAGGGCCTCTTCTTTCCCATCTTCCACCTTCCAGGGTTTTCTGGAGCAGCTGTGATGTGTCTAACATCAAGGTCTTCTGGTGACAAGTGCAAACACAAGGTTGGACTCTGCAGCCCCCCATAACCCTGTGCCTGGGGTGTCTCACCATGGGCTTGGACTCATTCTCCAGCTCTCCCGAGGTCTGCATGGAATTTGTTGGGAGACACCAGGGCGGGGAGACAAAGCAAAGCAAACCCAGAGCTGGGAACGCGCAGAGCCGCTCCTGCCAGCACCGCAGTGCAAAGCCAACATCTGCCTTGCAGATGTGCACAGCCGCCGAGGCGAAAAAACACCTCACTACCAAGAGGGAAACACTTGGACACCCGCCCACAGAACTGAGCACAACCTGGAGCAGGAGCACAGCAACCATCAGAGATGGGAAGCACAGGAACGCAGCCACAGCGGGCTGGGGAAGTCCAGCACAGGGCAAAAGACTGAGATTAAGGGATCAAAGAGCCCTGAAGTGGCCGTGCGTGCACCTCGATATCCCCAGCCCTCCTGCAGCACGGATGGGAAGCTGGTCTGAGATCTGGTGCTGACTGGAGGCCGTCATTGACGCTCCACAGCGCAGGGGTCACAGCAGGGCTTGCTCGTCAGCCAGAAACCCTCCCAGCTCCAGTGAGGGCTTCTTAGACAAGCAGAGGATCTTGAAACACTGCGGGCTGAGGCTGCAGAACGGCGAGGGGCTGTACGTACCGAGCTTGGGCACCGGCTGCGTGTCCCAGAACTGGTAGCTCCGCTTGCTGGCTTCCTCCATGGTTTTGGCAGGTCCCTGTCCTACAGAGAAGAGCTCGATGGCTTTTTGAATCTCCTGGATCCTCTCAGCCGGTAAAGAGTTCACCTGAGTGCAGAGAGGGGGAGGGAAAGTGAGTGACCTGAGCTCTATTTCAGCCTCCCGTAAGGGCCGGCAGGAGCTCAGCCTGCCTTGGAGGGCTGCCAGGGAGGGGAAAGCAGGGAAGAGACTCCCTTTCCAGCCCGGATCCTCTTGTAACCCACTGTGAGATGGATAAACCCTTTTTCTAGCCACCTGCTACATGCTTAGACCTGATTTTTAGGCACGCCTGGGTCAAAGGGGCTGGAAGATCCAGCACCATAAGACGCCTTAAGCTTCAGTCAAAGGAAGATGTTGGGAGCAGAAAAGCTGCTCGCCTGCCCCGCAGCCAGGCCCTGGACAACCCGCACCCTGCAAGCGCTAACTCAGCGCTCTGTGCCACCAGAAGGGCTGAGCATTAGGAATTATTTACATTATTTGCTGGGATCTGGACAGCAAACAGCTTAGGCCCATGCAGAGCCCCGTGTTCTCGGCCTGCCCCCGGTGTGAGGGAGGCCGAAGGCTCCATGGAGCTGCAGAGAAAGGCAGGGCCCGAGGCCGGAATGTCCCGGCAGAGGGTGGGCAGGGAGCAGAGGCCGCTGCTTTTTACAGACGCAGGAATGAGGCCTCAGAGCAGGGCTAAGACAAGCACCAGCCTCCCGGACCAGCGTCCAGCGTCCCGTGCCGCGAGGGGCCGCCGGCACAGGGACAAGACCCGCGCCTCCCACCTCATCCCTGCGCACGGGAAAGGGGTAGGACGGCCCCTTCTCTGACCCTGCTCGTCTTTATGTTAATCCATCCCCAAAACCACCAACGTCGGGTGCTGTCCAGGGGCAGCAGCAAGGGCTGTTGTGCTGTGGGGCGGCAGCAGGGGCTGGCAGCGGGCTCGGCCGCACGGATCGAGCTGTCTTGGCCCAAGGAGGCAGCTGATTTCTGGGCAGAACAACTCGGCGGCGCCAGGCTGCCCCTTCCGCGGCACCGGGAATTCCCGTGCATGGAGCCAGGCCAGGAAATTGCTCTAAATCTCCGACCTCGGAGCAACCAAGTGCTTTAAGACAGCAGGTAGCAGGGAGACCCTGTCCTGGCCGCGCTGCAGAGAGTGAGGACGGGATTTGCTGCTCCTTGGACCGCGACTCCCAGAGCCGGGGAAGGGGCCGGGTACCTTCACGGGCTGCTCCTGGGCCTGCTCAGGTTGCTCTCCTCCTTTCTCTTTCTTCCTTTTCGGTTTCTTTTTCTTCTTTTTGGCTCCGCTGTCATTTGCTGGACTCAAGCCACTAAGGAAACAAAAGAACCATCATTAGAGGCTTTTTTGGAAGGCCGTTTACAGAGTCCCTGAAGCTCCATAAGGAAAATAAAAGCTGCCCGTCGGGAGCCAGTGCAAGCCCTTCGGAACGGGGTT